ATAATTTTGTAAGTTTTTTTAATACTTTTTGCAATTTGTTTCTTTGAAGTCTTGTAAAAAAAATTAATTTTTTATTCAAAAAGTCGCTGACTTGGATGGCAAATATATGTAATATAGTTTTCTTTAAATTTATATTTTATTATTATATATATACTTTACAATAAAATAAATATTGTTTAATCTATAAATTCTACTATTACTTGAAATTGCTATTGCTACTGCTACTTGAAACTGATATTGCGAAGCTTTACACAGAATTTTAAAAAAAAACTGCGCAGATCTACATTTTGTTGCAGATCTGCACAGATTTTTTAAAAAATTTTCTTTACCAATTGTCGCCAGGTTCAAAGTTTTGCGCAGATTTTTGGATCTGAAGATCTGTACAAAACTGCGTCCTCAAAAATTTTTCGATGTAAATATAATTATTAATAGTGAATCAATTAATAATATTATATTAAAGAAGTTTTTAAAAAAAAATAAATCAAAATATTACTAAAGCATCAAATATTTAATTAAAATTAGTGAAAAATCAGAAATATTACTTAGAGAAATTAAAGATCTATTAGCAATAATCAACAACAAAAATTCATTATTGATGTCTTAGTTCTTGAATATGCTAAATATAATATTCTACTTATAAATAACTGGACTCATAAATATGAAGCTATTTTAAATTGGTCTAGTAGAATATTATCATTTATAAATAATAATAGTAAATATAATATTACTATTATATATACCAGTTGTCACATATCAATTACTCAAAAAAAAAGAAACTACAATATAATAATGATTTTGATTTTGATAATTATAATATTCAAAATAATAATAATGAATTTGAAGAAGAATATAAAGATTAATTAATAGATTAATCACTATTATATATAAAAGAAATCTTAATAGAAAATCAGTACTAAATATTGAAATTGGAGAATCAATAAATCTATATTATCAATACAAGTTTGATTTCTCCCTCTCTGAAATCATTATTGCTCTCTATAATGTGCTCATTAATATAACTCAGAAACAAATTCAGATAACAATGTTCAAGTTGGTCAAATTATCAAAATCAATAATGAATCATATTAAAATGACTTTACATTACTATACAATATGAAACAAAAGCCAAAACTACAATAGAAGAATAATCCATCTTACTCAGAACAAATCACATCCAGATTCACCTGTCTCTTTTTCTCATTAACTACATCTTTAGTACGCCCTGTCTTCATAAATGTCTTAGATACAGCAATAGTCCTGGAGGTGTGATATCCATCTTGTTCATCAGAATCATCAAGAAAATTTTCGAGATCAACATCATCCTTATTGTTTATAATATCCAATGTTTGTGTGATGATAGATTTTGCATATAGTATCTCCTTCAGAACCAAAGCAAGCGGTTTAGATTTTGTTAGACGACCAGCAACTTCACGGACTTTTCTATGTTGGATACGAGTAACATAGCCCTTAGGAAGATCGACTGTGATGACCTGAATTCTGTTTGCTCCATGAAGCATCCCAACTACTTGCAATTTTCTTACAAGATTTTCTCTCGTATCACACTCAGTAGCGAGCTGGTTTAACATATCCTTCAACATTTTACATATTTTCAAGGAATCTGTCATATATTTGGTTCCACTTTGCCCTTCCCATTTACGCCCGCTTTCTATAGCGCCAAATTCTAAACGATCCATGCATAATCTGAAAACGCCATCACCTTTTCGACCAATCTTCTTTCGAGCATGTATTGTTCTTTCAAGATTCTTCCTATCACTCGATGCAAGACTCATCCCCTCGCCACGTACTAAATCGATGTTCAGATTGTGGAAAGCCGGGTCAATCAAGTGGCTCCAAACGTTCATTTCATACCAACCCTCTAATCTCTCAATAAAAGGGTTTTCTTTCCTTTCCCACAAAAATAGCATTCCTCGGTAAGCGTAATTAATAAAATTAAGATCGTAATAAATGTTTCGATCATATTTGCCTCCATCTGGTACAAACGATTCAAAAAGAATTTCTTGTAACCTCTCAACATTGTCAACCGTATATATTTTCAGCAATTCCACGAGAGAATGTTCAAGTTTCGGTTTATCCTTAACCTCTGAGGTGGTAATTTCCTTCCATTCCTCTTCGGAAAATAACGATTTGGTCCCTGGTTTCTTTTTTCGGCACACTTCTTTTGGACAATTTAACACCAATAGTGCTGATATCCCCGGTATCGCCATTGATAGTCCCAATCTCTGTATGGTGGAGGTGAACTGAGGGTTCACCGGTTGATTTACGCTCCTTATGCTTCTTTCTCCATGTTCTTGCTTCTTGACGATCAGGCCGAGTATCCTAGGACGAGAGACTTGAAAAAATTAGTAATATTCTTAACTAGTACCTTCAGAATTCTCCATCTTTCATCCCATCCCATCGGGTCGACGAGAAGTCTTGAACATCAGACAAAAAACGAGAAGTTCGCCTGATGCCTCAATGGGACCAATGTGGGTCGACGAGAAGTCTTGAACATCAGACAAAAAACGAGAAGTTCGCCTGTGCCCCAACATTGGTTTTGTGGCTCGACGAAAAGTCTTGAATGGCAAAGAAACGAGAAGATTTCCTGCCACGCCATTTATTCCCTACAATATTACTAACAAAAATTCTTTACTTGCCTTCTTATACCTGTCAAGAAGTATGCGTGCTCTTTTCTACTTTTTTCCTTGCTTAGAGTCAACAATATTCTCAAGAGATTTAATATACGCATCTATTTTCTTTTTGAATTGTTCATCGTTGCTTTCATCCAAAAAGTCCGAGATATTCCATTTCGCAGACTTGCGCTTGAAAAATTCGTGTATTTGGTTGTCGGACATGATTTTGTTATAAAAAAGTGAGTTCCAAGGTCGAGATAAGGGTTCAATCTACTTTGTCAAATGCATGACAATTTCCATAAAGAGGTCACAATGTTTAAGGTAACCAATACCTAATCTTAGAGTTAGATAATGGAGAAAGCATTTTTGTCTTTGCGGGAAAATAATTCACGATCATATGATCCAACTTTGTGAACCCGAGTTCACGAAAAAAATTATCGATCATATATGGACATCGATGTTCGTACAATATACATGTACATGTATATCATTTTTTCGTTATACATGTATAATAAATGTGTCATACATGTACATGTATTATCCATGTTTGCCTTGATCATTATATTCCAGAGTAACACAAATGCCTATCACGAAAATCTAGCACGGAGTGCACTTTCTATGTGCCTTTTTATGATCGATAACCATTTTTTCGATGTACATATTACTGGTAAGTCATATGGCTAGATTGCGAGTCCAATTCACAACCTCTTCACGTGATACCATATACTCACTTTTTGCGAATTTTGGACAAATCATATAATAATCGTTCTCGGTTATTATTTTTATTTCGCAAGCTATTTTAGGCAATTCGGATGATATGTAGAAGATCATGCAACAGATATCGTTATACATGTACTGTATATTCACGTTTTAGGATGCAGTATTCACAAAGGAGAAAATGACGAATTGAAAATCAGATAAGCTTGACTATTGGTTCATCCTAATCACACCACACAAGTAAAATCAGCACGAACATAATCAGTGGGATCGGGTACGAAATATCATTTCTCTCGTAACTAATTTTTTAAATCATGTCCAGCTCTGCTAATAAAATGATGCATTTCACTACCCTCATATTCGATTGTTTCTGAATATAATCGTTGGTTAGAATTCGATATGCTTATCCGATGGCATTATGCTCGGTATTTGGATTCATGTCGCAAAGTGAGTATTGATAGGCGCATATTTCATAAGAAACGTTCATGATAATGAAAGTAGCGAGAGTGTGATATCAAGTAATGTTGTGAACGAGATCGGGAATTAACCACTTGTTATATTTAGCAATCTAAAACGATCATTTATCAGAGAAGCTGGTACAAAGTGCCATGCATTACGAATCAACAACTGGCTTTGGAGAAGGTAATTTAAATGGGAACTTTCGTGCAAAATGGATAAAAGGGTTAACCTAAGGGACTTTTTCCCTCGCACAGCGTCATCTTTATACATTTCAGAATTTTTTGTCTATCATATCACCAACACGCGAAAATTAAGTACTCATAAATAGTATCGGTATAAGCTAAAAATGGATTTTTTTCACGTCATATGGGTAATTAAGGCATTGCGACGTGAAATTGGCAGAGCCAGCACGGCTGAGAATTTTTTCGGCCTTTAGCCAGCTCACGCCGATTAACCATCCACATGCCTTGATCATGGGAAATGAAAACGCGTGACGTCAGAATTTATACATGCAATACTTACCTTTGTCTCCGGATATTTCAACAAATTTTTCTGATCCGGCGATTGAAACGATATGAGTCATGTGCTGAAATTACGCGTTTTGTTCAGCATATTTCTAATAATCATCCCAACCGCAAAAATAAGCCCCGAATGGAGATAATCAAATACTGGTAGCTAGATTAGTAAAATCGTGAATTTATAAAGTATTGTTGAAATAGCACAGTTCGGAATAATCAAACATCCCACTACATTATCTTTACGCATATTTTTGATTATAACAAAGCTATTTTCCGGATCATACGTATGTTTATACTTATCCCGGTTGAGAAAATTGCATGTACTGAGTTGGGTTATCAGTAAACTTGCCATTGCGATTGTTTTACGTCTATTATTTTTAGACTATATACTAATTCTTTGATTCAAATGTTTCTGGAACCAGTGGTCTCACAAATTTCAGTCATTGAAAAATCACATGATACAAAAACTGTTCCCTCATGGAACGATCAGTTAAAAATTATTAGTGAAACTGTGCACTTTGTGCATTTCGAATATATATACGCATACATGCATACACGCATACATACATCATGATATATATCAGCAAAATTAGCATTCAAAGTTGCTTGGCAAAAACTGACAATTTTGTCACACTTTTCAGTTATATAATCTCAATTAATGGGTTGCATGCAGTGGGTCATGTACAAAGATTAACTTTACGCGTTTTTTATTAATACATGCTAAAGAATATAAAAATAAATTATAGGATGCACAAATTCTTCAACTCATAATATACATGATGTTATTCAGACATGGGGAATGAACTGTTGTGCTTTTTTCTATTTGTCATTTTGATTTGAATATAGATGCAGAGAATAATAGGGATAAATTTGTAATTATAATATTACATAAAAATAATAAGATTTCTACAAATTTAGTTACTATACTCTCATTTGATAATTGTACAAGAATTTCAGCTAATTGTAAATGAGTATTAAAGATGCTTGTCAAAATTTTTCCAAAAATATTTCAGCAGAGTTTTGACAGGTTACACACTATTTGTTAATTAGTATTTTGGCAGAATTTCAGTTTCAAAATTTGACAGAATTTTGGCATTTTATTGTTATCATTTTTATAGACTTTAAGTTATCTACATATTATTTATGTGTTTCTAATAACTAGAAGATGTATGAGACTAAATTTTTATAATGAAAGACTAAAAACTATTACTAAAAATAGGTAATGTGTGTTCTTATTGTAATAAACTAGAATAATTTTACTAAACTTTTACTAAGTTTCTCTATAATTTTAAAGACAATAATAAGTCTTTCAAGTGACTGTCTTTCAAGTCAAATACAACAATTGGTTATTTAATAATGATCTATCTTTCAAGACCAAAACTACAGAGGTCTCCCAGAATATTGTGAACACTTTTTAAAATACAATAACACAAAAACTAATAAAAAAGCAAGATTTATAATTCTAAGCTAATAGAATCATTGAAACATATTGTATATTGTATCAAAATTTTAAGTGATTTCAATAACTAGTTCAAAAAATATATATAAATATATATAAAATAAAATTTAGTATCAAACTGAAATTTATGTAAAAAAAATATTATTTTACAAAAATGCAAATAACTTCGCATCTAGTAAATCAAATTAAATAAAATTTTAACCAAAATTTTTTCAAGATATGGCACATCTAATGATATTAAAATTATTCAATTTGGATTACTAAATACGAAGATATCATGTCTCAAAAATAACATACCAAACTGGAATAAATTTTTTGAAGAAAATAGTTTTTTGTGAATATTTTTTCATCCAATTAACCAAATTAGATGATTTTTTTTGATATCACCAGATTCGTCTTGTTTATGTGAATCTAGTAATATTAAAATCATCCAATTTGGTCTACTGGATACAGAGATATTTGCAAAAATGTTTTTTTTTAAAATTTTCTTTAAAATATTTTTTTATCCCGATTTTTGTATAGTATTTTTGAGACATTTTATCTCTATATCTAGTAATTCAAATTATATAATTTTGACATCATTAGATAAATCTTGACTTGGTAAATCTGATAATATAAAATTATTTAATTTGGTTTACTGGATATGAAAATATTGGCATATTTATAAAATAGAATAATTTTTTTCATGTAAATTTTCGGTTTGATACTAAATTATATTTTTTATATTTTTATATATATATTTTGAACTAGTTATTAAAATTACT